AAATCGTATTTCGGCCTTTGGACCAATGTGGCGGGCGTTGATAACGTCCTACACCCTCCCCGAGCAGACACATGTATTTAAGCTTATACAGTGGTTTCTCTTCTCTCAGTGCCCCTCAATGTGCATCGCATATATACATATATGTACATATATATATATATATATATATATATATATATATATATATATATATATATATCTTGTTTTCTCTGTACGCGCTCTGGCGTGGCGAGTGTGAGCGCGACATCGATCCTGAGAGAACGTTTCGAATTTCAGGGGTAGCTCTCCTTGATTGGATTGAAGGTTCCATTGATCACACATGCTTTGACGCTCATTTTGTATATTTTCTGAGAAAAAAATGTTTTTGACAAAATGAAGCGCGTCAATATCGAACAAAATTCGATGTGACACGCGTAAGAGAAAATATTTATAATTTTCACTAATATTTTAATTTTTATTTCATTTACTTTTTTGAATTCCTAACGAAATATATCTTTGCTATATGTTATGAATGCCACGTCTGCCAGCATATTGTAGGATCCTTCTCTTCGAGGGGTGATCACCCTTATCTTTCACAGACAGCGCTTTGGTTGAACCGAACGCTCTTGCTTAGGTAGATAATCGGGAAAACAGTCTCTCTTGCGAACCGAACGTTGTATTAATGAGATCCTTTCATCGTATACGTATCCATTGGATCAAAGAGGAATATAAAAAAGATGATGCAAAAGAACAAGAATTGCAATGTAGTTTTTTGATTGATGAAAAAGAGTTTTGAATTTTTAAATAAAAATTCGATTTATTGATTAAAAATTTAAAATATTTAAAATATTTGTAGATAAATATAATTCATGGATTATTGTCGAATTAAAATAACAGATTTTATAGATCTTAAATAATGATAGATGAAATGAATGAATATATCTGAACAAAATATAAATATAAATATAAATTTATATTATTTCTATTTAATTATAATATTCAATAATCATTAATTTTCGTCGCTCTTTTTGTAAGATTTCACATAACTGATATGGATATATTATATGACTTTGGAAACGGATGTTTAATTATTATCATATAACCATTAATATTCCACAAGAGGCAAATTGTCATGTTAGATCAACAAATAGTAGGGTTCCAACTGCTCGGGCTCACGACCGATTAAGTATCCCTTTTTACTTTGATCTACTTGTCTCACTCATTCCTTAGAATTTTTCTCTATTTTCCTCTTTCTCTTTCTTATTCTATCTCTTTCTCTATCAAAGTGTCTCGTTTCGCGCTGCGACTGATAATGGACTTTTAATGCGTTTGATTTGCGAATCGCATGATCCCATCTCGTCCTTTTCGAAGCGTAATTTCCATAATATTTCCGGTGTGCGCGATGTGGAGGGTTGACGGTGGATTTACCCATCGTATGAGATATTGATGGTTAAATGTCAATAATTCGAATATGGGAAGAGACACGTCATCGTATATTTTATACAGAAAAAACGAGAAAGAGAGAATGAGAGATTCTGGGTACACGAAAGGGAAATTGCAAGAGCAATGTTTGCACCGAAAATTACATCTTTTATCTGCGTTTGCGTATCAAATTGCCATATGTAACAGAATGGAAGCAAAATAAAAAAAGAGGCGAAAAAGAAAAACGGTTTTATCTCGCAAGATGCTCGCAGAACTTGATTTTTCAGAATAGAAAATGTGTATGTGTGTGTTATATATATGTGTGTTTTATTGTCATATGTTGACAGAAGATCCAATTAATTCTTTTATCTCAGTTTTCCTCTCGTAACATTTTAGCGCTATTATTTCTATAATTGTCCATTTAACAAACATATCAACGCATTAAAATCACATTTAAATTTAAATCTAAAAAAATAGAGGCTTGTACATTTTGTTTGTATCTATAAAAAAGAGAGAATACGTATTATAAATTATAAATATTATAAATTATATATGTAATTACATAATTATATAATATTTCTTTTATCTCTGGAGAGATTACATCGATGACATGTATTTGATGACAGGTATTGTTTAGCAGTGAATCTATACGAATTAGGAGTGCTTATTTTATGAATTGCGTGCCACGTTTGTCGCGTATCCTATCGAGTTATGTCATAGCAAATATTGATCGAGTCGATAGGATTAATAGTTAATCATACATATGTAGTTTCTTTTGTCCCGTTAAACTGGTGGTAATCTCGTGTCCCCATTGAAATCGACAGAAATCCGTTGATAGATAAATATCACGACTTGGCTGGTCCCATTAAAAAAATGCAAAAACTCGTCGAGCTTGTTTCACAGGCTCATCTGGGTTAATCGGAATTTCTCGGGAGTTTCTTCATCCGATGGTACCGGGAACCATCCTTCGAAGGACTTAAGCTTCTTTCTCTGAAGTAAGCACATCGAAAAGTTTCGCGCAAAATATGTCGCATGAACGAAAATTTCTGACCTCGACTTCTGTCAGGATTACTTAGAAGTTTCGAATCTTTAGAAACTTCAAATCCTTGCGTCATAAATTTGTTATAGGATTGTATAAATTGTTTCTGATAATGTAGCTAAGTTTGTCATAATTTTATTATAATTTATTAACAGCACTATTATATTATTATTATTATTATTATTATTATTATTATTATTATTATTATTATTATTATTATAACGTTAATAGTTTGTTTTTTTATGTTTTGAATACTAATTGCAAACAATTGTAAAAATTTAGAATAAAACAAAATAAATATCTTAAGCAAGCAATTAATAAAAAAGCGAATTTTAATAAAAAAAAATCACATAACTAAATAAATTTTTATTTCGAGTAATTTTACAAAATTGAAGTTATACTTAAATAAACTATTTAATTTAATTCTATCAAATTATATCTCTTTAACTTTTTTCAAACATATTATATAACTTTAACTAACAATCAACGATTAAAATCAACGATTAAATCAACGATTATATCTCTTATATAAATTCTATGATATTATTTTTAGTTTTCGTTAAATCAATTGATGAATTGTTTGAAAAAATAATTTGGGTATGTGCCTGAATGATTTAAATCGTTTGTTTGCGTTTGCTTTAGACTGATCATATTATTCGATTCTTGTTAATTATACATGTATAATTCATTATTTTGATATTATTTAAGTTCGTAGTATTGGATATTTAATTTCATGTATCTCTAAATATGATAGGCAGTATAATAAATATTTTAATAATAGGCAGTAATAAATATTTTAATAATTCGTGTACTTACTACGTGCTTACTACGTATTATTACTTGCGTACGTATTTTATGGAATGCTGAATATATTTTGTATCAGTGTCCCCCACTCCGCCTCCGTAACACACAAGGAATATCTGGCACGGCGCGCGTGGCTTGTTATTGTTAGAGTCACCTTTGTCGCCGGCGATACTCGAGTCACTAGTCAGTAGCATGAGCTCCTTTGATTGTATCACTACGCATTGTTACCTTCTTCATGCGATCATTTCCACATTCTTATAATAAGCGGTTATCGATCTGCAAATTAGTCGAGGCTTTTTATTAACGACTCGTAAGTGTATAAATAATATGTACTTCGTGAAATTCCGTGTGTCCGAAACGTAACGCAATAAATAAATTCCGATTATATATTTTCGAATGTCCATTTATCGTCTTAATTAATCGATGATGTGTCTTTTCTTGAATTATCGCGCAATCCGCCGAATTTACGCGACTAATTAAACGCGGCTGTCATCTACTTGTCACTGACGTAACGATTGATTAATCAGAGATCTATCTATTTTTTATTAGATAGCCGATAAAAAATACACAAAATGGATATACATACCTGCAGCCCGTCGTTTTTAACTAAATTAAAATTTGCGTTTAATCTAATAATAGAAGCTTTTATGGAAGTATTCTTGTTATTATTATCGAACTGTGATAAACAATGTTTAGTTTCGCGAGTTACGATTTGAAATATGAGAAGCATAGACTACTTATAATTTATGCGAATACATCGACGCGATAAAAGAGAGAGTAATACGTAATTAGGCCGATATTACATTTGTCATAGGGCAAATTTTTAAGCATATTGATTGGCTGTAGCATAGTAATTTTTTAGAAATTTTCTATCCTGCAGCCAATCAACGTGTTTAAAAAATTTGTCGACAAATGTCAGTCAACCTTACTCTTTTCCTTTCTACCAAAAGTAGAGGCAGCATAAATATTTTCTCACACTCTACGCATATTAAAGGAGAACGGTGAAAATTGAATGAGTCGACACTTTTTATTTCTCATAATTGTAATTTACGAAAACTATCAAATGTATGACAATTTTGTAACACAAAAAAACTCTAAATACGCGATATCACTCGGTTGGCATCCCTTGTATCTAGTCGAGAAATTAGTACGCTATCTAAATTAGTACGCTATCTGTCCACCTATCGGCTATCGGCGTTGCAGCGTGACGTAATTTAAATTTTTCTGAAGAAAATGCAAGTTTGCTTCGCGCGTTAACGAACGATGGATGCATCGCACGGTTTAAGAAGTAATCGCGCGATTTATTCGTCCGATATGTGCATCTGCGAGTGCAGAATGTGAGGAGTGACACATAAAGTGATGGACAATTATCGTATCGCGTTAATTCGTATCCGCGGGTGGTTAAATGTGAAAACAAAGGAGTGGATGGAGCGGAGTAAGGTTGACCATTAAACAAAGAGACTTGTTTTTCGCGGATCTTTATTAGAATCCTACATATATCACGAATCGGTGAGTGCGTTTGATGTGCTAAGCAGAAAAAATTCATTTTAAATTTATTACCAAATAAAATTCTCTCTCTCCCCCCCCCTCTCTCTCGCTCGCTCGTTCACTCTCTCTCTCTCCCTCTCTCGCTTTCTCTCTCCTCTCTCTTCCCATTCTTTCTCTCTCTCTCTTTCTCTCTCTCTCTCTCTCTCTCTTTCTCTCTCTCTCTCTCTCTCTCTCTTGTTCGCCCGTTCCGTCTGTTCTCTCAAGGTTTCGAAACGCGCGCATTTGCGTATTTGAGATTTACAAATATACGAAATTGACAGTCATATTTTCGGAGATAATATTCTGCGGATAATTGTTTGTATAATTTTAACTCGTACGCACACGTTTCTTTATCTATCGTTATAATAATTTCGTTTTACAAAACGCGCGCGAGCATATATTATTTGTTACATGAAATACACAAAGTACATAAGAGTGTAACTAAAAGCAACAGGTGCAGCCGCGTTAGATGACGCGTGAAATTGGCCGCGCGATTCTTGAATTCCTCCCCCTCCTCCCGACATTCGTCCGTTGCGCTAATTTCTAAGATCGAGTGTCGAAGGGTAATTTTGTACGAATGCAGTGTTTCGCGTTACTCTCTTTTTCGTAATAATACATACAGTAAAGTTCGCGTCGCGCGTGCATACGATTAATATCGGGAGTGCCGTGAAAAGTGTCGCGCGATCGTGTGGTAAAGTGATGATTACTAATCGCGCGATCGTAATTAACCTCGCGAGTGCATGTTACGCGAGTGCCACGAAAAAGCTTGGGAAAGCAAGGAGAAAGAAGAGGAGACGGCAATGAGTCGACGATGAAGGAATGAAGGTAATTTATTACATATTTATTATTTTTTTTACTTGCGCGCAATTAATCATTTATCTCGGCAACAATCGCAAGCATATCAAGCATCATATGCGTGACTCTGCATTATTGTGTGACGTAATGTGTATAGAGTATTTGAAATCTTTTTATTTTGAGAAAGAGATATTTTTAAAAAATTCTAACAGCATATTTGTAATATTTGGACATGTCGATTAAGAAATTATTCAAGTAGAAAATTTTTTTTACATAAATTATATTATATTAATCATAAAATAAATATTAATAAGAATTATGATATTTAATTTTTTATTACGCTTTAATTATATATTACAATTAAAAGCAGATGTTGTATATACGTTTAATATTTAACAAATAATGTTCTAAATTTTTTTAACCTTAATTAAAAATATTAGCTACATTGGTGCAAAAATTTAATATACAAAAAATAATACAAAATATTGGAAACTTGAAATATTATGTAATATGAAACCGACTATAGATGTGATAAAAATGTGATTGACTCTTTTAAATTTACATAAATTTTTGTTTTTGCAATAAATATGCTTGATTGTTGTTTCCGAGTAATGATGCGCAAATTATTTCTATTAATTTCTATTTCATTATGAAACTACTTCATTGTAGTGCACATGAATAATGATATCATTAGTTCTAAATGCAAAAGGTAAATTTGCTAAATGTATTAATAGGTAATAATATTAGGATAGATTTGTTTTGTTTGCATAACTATGCATATACATCGTACATAATTAATATCATGATCGATTTTCAATCATTATTCATTATTAGAATATTAATGAATTAGAATATTAATGGATTAAAATAAACTGTTTCGAGGACTTCGTTAATTTGATGTTAATTATTTTTTCGTTAGACATTTTGCTCGTTATATCTAATCTTTCAATTTTAATATTTACATTAATGAAATAAACTCATTGCTAATTATTTTTAGACTTTACGTTATAATTCATATATACATATAATGTGTCAAATATAATTTTCCCCGTTAAAATTCTCGATCTCTTTTGACTCATTTTAATTAAAGATAAGAGTGAATCGACCTGTCGATCCGCAATTAAATATTTACAGATATTATATATATATATATATATATATATATATATATATTTAATTTATATATAATCAGGACTTTGATACTTGACTGAATTTATTGGCATGATAGTTGATGTGTCACATTTTTTATTTTCGATTTTTTTGTCACTGATGAATGAAATTGATATTTTCCTAAAATTAAATATATAAAATATTAAATATATAAAACATTAAATGAGCAAAATGAATGATGAGAAAATAGATTTAAAATCAATAGACCTTTGAAATGGTTTATTTTAATAAGTAAATAATTAATATTTTAACAATTAATAATATTGTGCTATAATTAATGATAAATTAATTATAAATTTTGCTTTATTAATTTCCTGTGTTTTTTAAATATATATAACTATACAAGAAAGAGATCAATTAAAAAGAGTATAGATATAAAATAAATATATGAGGCAGTTGCAAAATAAAAAAATCTAATTCAAAATTTGTTTAAATTTAGAATTACAAAATCTTCATCACGAGAAATTTAGTTTAAATGTACAGCATAATTAAATGTATTGATTTATTGTCAAGTTATTGTTGTAATTTCGAATTGTTTGCTTTATATAATTAATTAATATTAAAAATAGAAATGCTGAAATGTATTAATAATTTTAACATTTTCATCTGTAAAAAATATTTGCAAATTGTAAACAAAAATTAAATTAGCAGAATTAATTGATATTGCAAAAATAATAAAAGTTCAAGTTTCAAAAATATTTAATTTCTTATGATGAAGATTGCGGATTAACAATGATGGTTGCAAACCAAGATTAGTCCCAGTAATTTGTGCGAAATATTCGAGGGGAGTCGTCGACATAGGTACATATCGCTTATATCAAACGCATAATCCGAAATATAGTTGCTCGAAATGTGTTGAATTGTGAAAACCATAATAATTCAGTCTGGAACACTGAAATCCCCGGCGGCATTAAGTTGAAATAAGAGGGACGACGAGGAAGAAATATAAATGTAAATATTAATACAGAGAGAGTTGGGCTACTATATGGATCTTAAGAACCGAGGGGAGACTTCCTCCACGAGCTTGCTTCCCTAGCCTCTTTCGTTCGCTCAAATATTTAATGGATTCGACTAGATCCACTCTTAGCTTTAGCTATATTCGTGTAACTTTCGTATGTGTATACATTGAGTTCGTGTGCTGTTCAATTTATATACGTACATACGCCATACGCTTGCGTGATTCTGCGAAAGCTCAAACTACATCCTTACGAGTCGGGGTCGAATCACATTTCGGCGATGTCGGAGAGAGATGTTTTACGCTTGCTATCAAATAGAATGCATCAACAAAGTTAAATTATATCAATCAATGTGTGATTCATGAAAAAGAGGAAAATGTTACACTTATAAAAATATCGATGAAACAAAATTAAAAACATTCTTAAATTATTTAAAATTATAATTTATAAAAGTTTTGGATACGATGATACTCTTATGTAAAAATATGTTAAAAAAGCAAGAGAGACAGAGAAGGAGAGAAATAGAAAACAGATACAAGACGTAATTATAAACATCTTTCTCTTACATTACTTTTTTAATAAAAAAGTCAGTTGTTTATCAGTAAATTACGGTAGCTTCGCATAGTTTGCGATATCACTGCTGTGTAGATTTTTTTGTGCGATTGCAATTAAAAGTACTTTGCTCCCATGTGTCGAATGTCGACGTCAATATAAGATGACTTCGGGAAAGCATCTGTTGTGCAAGCTCGAGGAAAGCGCGGTTCGACGAAAGAGCGAAGGCACGAACGAAAAACAGTCTTTAATTATTTGCGATCGGCTCGGGCGAGTCCCGCGGGTGTGTTCCGTCGAGTTCGACGGAGAGTTAATTAATCCCGCGGTATAATTAAAGCGCCGTTTCGTCAGACCGAGGGACGAGGGGAAAGGGGGATAGGGGAGGGAGGGTAGAAGGCGGACCCGCTGGAAGTTAAACTCTACGAAGATCAAATTGTGAATCCGTGGCTGTCCGGGGGACCGTCCGGCGATTCGGAGAGGGGTGGAAAGGAGAGGGTGGAAAGGAAGTGGACTCTGCGACACGACAGGGGTAGCCGGAGAGACCGATTTAATTAAATTCTAACGCTTTCGGAGAAACGCGCGCGCGAAACGAGCGGCGTCGATCGTGCACCAATATCTCCGATGCCTCCCCTGCCCTCTTTATCCCCCGTCCCTTCTTCCTTCGGAATCATACGAGGAATCAACGTGATCTGGAATCGACGCGTGATTGTTGGAAATTATTTCTTTCGTCGTTACGTTCCCTCTGTGCTTTCGCGTGTCGAGCTAAAGCTCGTCAGCGACGATATTGCGTTCTGACGAGGACCTGGAAACGCACGGGCGAGGGTGAGAAAGGGGGAAGGGGCTATCACAGGGGGAAATTTCACGGCTCGAAGTAGATTGAAAGTTTTTGATGTTATTGGATGCTGGACGTCAATTTCGTCGTTGTGCCGAATCGCGGCCGTTAATCGGCACTCTGTCGCCGCCACGTCAATAACGAGTTCGATAGAATTACGGGCGACAAAGGTTTCCCGTATTATTATGAAATTATATCGTAAATCTGATCGTTTGCGTGTTCCACGCCGTGGAATACGCCGTTGCAAAAATATTTGTACGTATTCTACGGTGAAATTCCATTTTTTGAATTTTCCACGTCTCGCGCGCGCGCACACGCACACACACACACACATACATGGCATAAATATGGGATGGATTGTTACCGATTTTTATATTTTTCACGTTGTACACTTTGGTGAATAAATTATCAAAAATCCGTATATTGCAGTTTAAAATTGGAAATCTTTTTTTTTTATTTTTTACATTTCGATTTAATTCTTATTTTGCTGCGAACCGTGTTTTTTTCACAATCTACAATTAATACTTACGATATATTTAAATGCATGACACACGGATTAAAATAATATTTTTTTTTCTATTTTTTGCTGATATATTTTTTTTGCAAATAGCACAATAGATGATTATATGTTGCGTGCACGATTGTTGTAGGATAAATTATGTCATTTACATAGAAGATTATGTGCGCATTTAAAATAAACGTTGCATGCGCAAAAGATTTATTTTACCATATGTTGGTGATATTACTGATATAATAATTCATATAAATGTGACAAATATGCATATATTATAAGCGTGCAAAGTGTTCTTGGAACATTTCCATGACATCATCGTGGTTGACCTAATTTTCATCATGAAAGAACATACTCGGTGTAATCACAAAACAAATTAATTACGTTAATGCTGCCTATAATCATGAAAACACTGCACGAATTATTCACGCGATTATTCTTAATTTCATGCATCATCAATAATCGTGCACGAATATGCTCAATAATGGTTGAAGTATCCTCTCGATATGGACGAATAACAATTTTTCGAAAAGCAATATTTTCACATTAAAATCGTGGAGAAGCGGTGGAAAAAAATGCAGACCGGAGGGAGGGAGGCTGGGAAAGGGAGGATTTTTCGCGCAATGCGTAGCGATGCATACATCCTCGCTATTTTCGTAGCGATATCTCGCGCGTGATTTTCGCGATATTTATCCGACTGTCTATTTTCGACGACGTAATTTACACCTTACCGGGATTTGCGATGCGTACGCACGCACCCACTGTTTTTCTAGTTCAATCCATCACACGTACGTGTGCATAATATGTCCGTTCGTCGTATATAAGCGACGAGAGGGTGCATAGGCGCAGGCGCGACGAGATTCATCGTCGCGACTCGAAAAGGACGGACATTCGGCACGCCGTTCAGTCGAGCACCGACGTCGACGACGATGACATCGTTTCTCACCCTTAATCAGGCGCCACCCTCGTCTTGTCATCGCGCCTCGCCATGTGATCGTCTTGCCGTTCG